CAGCAGGGCTTCAGGCACTGGTGAGTCCCCGGGATTCTAACCGGCAGTCATCAGGGGCTATGATCTGGAAATCAAGGCCGGGGAAACGAGCAGGGCTTGGCGAGGAGAGGCGAGGATGGGGAGGCGGGGGTGGGAGAGAAAGAGGAGGGGACGGGGGCGGGGGAGGGGTGGGAGGTGGAGGGGGAGTGAGGGGAGGGTATGGGACGTGGGGGAAAGGGGGTGCGGAGAAGAGGAGTAAGTTATTGCATCGGTCGAGGTCACTTACGACTGAGGGGTTTAGAGGGCTTGATGAGGAGGGAGAGGGAGTGGAAGAGGAGGGTGGGGAGAGTGGAGTAGAAGAGATGCAGGAGAGGGGTGGGGTGAGGAGAGGCAGGGAGCAAGGGGGGTCTAGCTGGAGAAAGCTGGTGCCTGGTGCTGCTGCTGCTGCCGCCGCCGCTGCTGCTGCCGCTGCTGCTGGTGGGAAGGGTGCTGGAAATGCGTCCTCCAGTGATCAAGAGAAAGAGAGTGCTTCTAGAAACACCTTTCGTGGCAGAATGGGAGCTAGCACCAGCGCGAGCAGCAGCAGCAGCACCACCGCTGCCAGCATCAGCACCAGTACCAATGCCAATGCAAGTGCCAGAAGTGGTGGCGGCGGCGGCGGTGGCAGCAACAGCAGCAGCTTTGGCGGGAGCGGCAGCGGCAGTGGGCGATTGGAGGTGCGGGTTAAGTCAGTTTTAGCACGGTATTTCAGCAGAGGTTCAGGAGCAGGGTCTGGGAATGGGAGTAGAAGCATCAACATGACTCGCACCTCCACAGGTAGCAGGCTGTCTCGTTTCGTCACTGCTTCCGGTGACCGCGATGGGCGAAAGGGGTGTTATTCTGAGCGGCCTGCAGCAGCAGCCACAGGCATCTCGGGCGACGCAGGGATGGCAGGAGGAGGGAGGGGAGGAGGAGGGGTAGAGGAAGGGTGGAGGTTTGGAAACGAGGGGGAGGAGCCGGTGGGGGATTTACCATGGGTGGGTTCAAACTTGGATGAGCCTCTGCTACCGTCGGCTGCTGCTATTTATGAGGCGTTAATGCTCTCTCCTCGGTATGCTGCTGCTGTGGGGCAGTCAGATACAGATGGTTCTGAGGCTCGGGATCTACTGATGGGTATGGTGAGGGAGAAGCGGATAACTTCGGCTGCTATTGCTGCGGCCATGGCAGCAGTTGCCTCCTCGGGCGTTGGTGATGCTGCCGCTGCTGCCGCTGGTGCTGCTGGTGCTGCTGGTGCGGGTGGTAGCGTTGGGGGAGTTGGGGGTTTGCGCCTCCAAGGCAGCACCATGGGCGTTGGAAATTTTATGGGAGGAAGAGAGGAAGGAGAGGGGGAGGAGGAGGACAATGGTGTTCCTCTCTGTTACTCCTCTCCTCTGCCCTTTGCCCCGGGAAACCACTGGGCCTTACTCATGCGCCAAAGCCTGGAGTGTGACGAAACCAGCAGTGGAAACTTCGAGCTGCACCGGTCGAAAGCGGTGGAGGACGGTGCGGAGCCGTGGGGCGGAGGTGGAGAGGGAGAGGGGGAGGGAGTGGGGGAGGAGGGTGGAGGCGGGGTGGGGAATGGGGGACAAGCACCGGGGTTTCAAGATATGTTAGTGTTGAATGATATTGGTAGGAGCAGCGATGGGACTCCTGTCATGTCTACGTCATCTTCGCTGGTTATCGGGGGGGCTGCAGAGGGTGGGGACAGGGGGGAGGGTGCGGGGTGTGTGGGGAGCGCGGAAGGGGCTTCATGGCACGGAACGGTTTTTGAGGGGGATTCTTTGAAATTGCCTGTGGCGACAGGGATGAGTGGGGAAGAGGATGGTGGGGTGTTGGTAGAGGAGCGAGGGGAAGGAGGAGAGGAGGTGATGTTTGGAGGAGGGGGGGTCGAATCAGGGTGTGTGACTGGGGTAGAGCATGGGATGACCGTGGGAGAGGTGGAGCAGTCAGCAAGATCTGGTTCTGCTGTGGGTGTGGTAACTGGGGGGGTTGGTGCAGGGGAAGGAGCAGGGGGAGCAGCGTGGGTAGGAGTGGGTCTCTTTGTGATGGTGGACGAGGGAGACGAAGGGTTGGAAGGGGTTGGGAGCGGTGGGGAGGGATTGGAGTGGAACTGTGGGGCGTCTAGTGTGTTGTGTGCCATGGGAAGCATGTCTGAGCCTGATGCTGCTCTGCATGAATTCGGGCTCATGCAGGACATGGGTGAGCAAGACATGGGGCAGGACATGGGGCAAGACATGGGGCAAGACATGGGGCAAGACATGGGGCAAGACATGGGGCAAGACATGGGGCAAGATGTGGCATGTGATGTGGTGAATGGCATGCCACATGAGGTGGTAGATGGCATTGCGCATGGTATGGTGGATGGGATAAACGGAATGGCACATGGCCTGGAGGATGCAGCAACAAGGGACCATACAGCCTCCGCACCTACTGGTACTTGTGTTGAGAGCCATGGCCTTATGGGAAACCATGGTCATACCCACAACACTCGTGCTGAGCTTGAGAATCATGGTCTTATGGTGGACCATGGTCATACCCCTCCACACAGCCTCACCCACACTAGTTATGCAGTGTGCCATGTGGAGGACAGATGACAAGACATGGCATGGGATGGCATCCTTGCTCAGTGCTGTGATTGGTGATGCATTTTCCTTACCACCAGGATTGGGTTGTTTTGGGGGAGGGTGTGTTGCCCTCATTGTTGAGAAGCTGCCATTACCAGAGTTTTACCTCGGGGGATCTCTCGTCTTGCCCTTCTATCTATTAAAATGTATATGAATGTGTGTGTTGGAGATCTTAGTTGAGCATATACCGTATCACCCCGGATAGTAGCGCCGTCCTATTAAAAGCGCCGGCGCTTCTATATGGAGCCATGCGCTTATGGCCGGTCTTCAATTATAAGCGCCCCCCCTGAAAAACCTTTACTTATTATAAGCGCACATACAATATTAATTCGAAATTCTGTTAAAAACGGTATCGAGTTTCATTTTTGCAGCGAGTTCGATTTCATTCTCGCTTCGTTTGACTCGCGAAGACCCGACTGGCTTCGCGTCCAGTCAGGATGAGCTCGCAGAACGTGTCTTTCACACTGTGTGTTGGCAGAGTATCGCTTCCGCGCGATTCTGCTTGGTGACTCGAAAAAAATTCGACTCGGTTGAAATGGCAAGAATGAAATGTACAATTTGGTGCTCTAAAAATACATTTTTGTGATTGTCATTATATAAGAGCATGCGCTTATGCCCTAGACTCAATTACAAGCGCCCCCCCCCAATTTTTTTAATTTTATTATAAGCGCATATGCGCTACTATCCGGGTGATACGGTACCATCCGGAAAAACAATAGCACGTTAAAAATGCAGTTCCCATGTAATGTTCAAAATTGCAGTTCACTGTGGTACTCGTTTTCAGATCTTGCTACCATACTCTGGCTTACAACAAAGTCTATTTGGCTTGTAAAGATGGGAGTAGAAGTTACGGCAGGTAGGTAGGAACATCTGGGTCATAGTAGGCTTTCCACAGTCAAGTGCATCACGGCAAACCACCCCGGAGAAAATGTGTGCATCGCGGCCGCGGCCATACCGTAGCTGCGTAGAGTAGCGGTAGCAGTAATAAAATTGTAGAGCGCACTTTCGAGCAGGCCATTCACTGTCTCAAAGGTCAAACTCTCTAGTCCAATCCCGGCCATGTACGGCAACTGGAGGCGCAGGCTAGTCATAGAAGCTTTGGGCATAGAATTCGTAGTGGAAGCTTCTCACAACTGAGAGTCTAAAAAAAAATCATACTCTAGTTCAGTCGCGGCCACGTGACCGGAGGAGCGGGCTGGTCGTAGAAACTCAGAGCGTTGATTATGTCAAGAAGCGACGGGAGGGACTCGGTGACGGGGACGGAGGGGAGTTTGTGGAGAGCAGAGCAGTTGTAGTCGATGGACGGGATGAGCCACGGGGAGAGAGCTCCTATGAAAGAGTCCAGGCGTGGCGATAGAATGCCCTCCCAATCCGCCTGGAGGGGAGATAACGAGGGGGGAAGGGTGTGGATGGTGGGGGAAGGAAGAGAAGAAAAGTGAGAGGGGGAAGGAGGTGGGGTGGGGAAGGGGGGGGATAAGACGAGAGAGAGATGAAGGGGAGGAGGTATGAGGTGATTGGTGCGGCGATGGGTGGGACTCGGTGACGGGGACAGAAGGGAGGTTGTTGACCGCAGAGCAGGTGTAGTCGATGGACGGGATGAGCCACGGGGAGAGAGCTCCTATGAAAGAGTCCAGGCGTGGAGAGAGAATGCCCTCCCAATCCGCCTGGAGGGGAGATAGTGGAGAGCAGAGGATAAAGCGGGGGAAGGGGGGGCGGGGGGGGGGGTTGTGCCAGGGGAGAAAGAAGAGGGAAGGGTTTGAGACAGGGAGGGGAGAAAGCAGCTATGAAGGAATCTAGTTGTTTCAATTCATGAATCCAGGACCACCCTCCCTCTCATAAAAGCTTTTTCCCATCATATTGAGGAGGAATGCCTTTTCAAAATGCCTGGACAGCCAAAAATGATGAGGAGAGAGGGGAGGGGAAGAGGGAAGAGGGGGAGAGACAGGGGAGGGTGGTGAAGGAGCAGGAAGGGACGGGAAGGGACGGGACTATGGGTAGGGCTACTGTCACGAGAGGAGACAAGGAGAGCAGTATTTGGAGGGTGAGGATATTCAAAGAAAACGTCAAAGAGACAAGAGAAAGAGAGATCACAAATTGGAGAGCAGAGGAGAAGGAACAGAGAAGAGTATATTCAAAGAGACAAGAGAAAGAGAGATCACAAATTGGAGTGACAAGAGAAGGAGAACGAGAACGTCATGTGGAGAATGGCAGAAGAAGACAAAGAGAAGTGCATATCGAAAGAGACAATAGAAAGATTATAGTGACAAGAGAAGGACAACGAAAACGTCATGTGGAGAATGACAGAAGAAGACAAAGAGAGCAGCATTTGGAGGCATTTTTCAGATTTCTCAAAAGACAGTACGTTCTTCCTTTCTTTGTGGCGCCTCAAAATAGAACACTGTACCTGGAGTCCGCGGGGAACGTGTGCTGTGACCTGCATGTCCGCTGCTAGGCAAAGAGAGAAGAGTATCTATAAAGAGAGAGAGGCGGTACCTGGAGTCCTCGGGGCACGTGTGCTGTGACCTGCATGTCTGCTGCCAGGAATAGCCCGAGCATGGTGACATAGCCCACCATGGCCGTGCCGCGTGCAAGAGGCATGAAGTTGTACCTGTGCATGTGTGGATGGGCGAGAGAGAGAGAGAGGGGATGAGGCATGAAGTTGTAGTACCTGTGCATGTGTGGATGGGCGGGTGGGATGGGATGAGGCGGAGATGAGGGGATGAGGGATGGGACGGATGACTTTGAAGGTGCCTCAAGATTGGCTGCAAGGGGTAGTCCCAGCATCGTGACATAGCCCACCATGGCCGTGCCGCGTGCGAGAGGCATGAAGTTGTACCTGTGCATGTGGATGGGCGAGAGAGAGAGAGAGGGGATGAGGCATGAAGTTGTAGTACCTGTGCATGTGGATGGGCGAGAGAGAGAGAAAGGGGATGAAAAGATTTTGTAGTCGACTCAAAAACAGCCCACCATTGCTGTGGCACGTGCGAGAGGCATGAAGTTGTAGTACCTGTGCACGTGTGGATGGGCGAGAGAGAGGGGATGAGGAGGGTAAGAGGGATGAGGGATGCGGGGAATGGGAGAGGTTGGAAGGGATGGTGGGATGGGAGGGATGCAAGGGATGGGAAGGATGGGGAGCTGTAGCTTCGGTCACGCTTCCCCTCTCTCCGTACCCACCATATCGTCCTTCCCCCGCTCTTCCACCTTCCCTTCCCCATACCTCGCCCTCCCCTTTCCCCTGCCCGTCCCCCTTGTATGTGCCCCGCCCGCGCGCACCAGTAAAAGGCGAGGGAGAGAATGGCGCGCTGAATGCGCTGGCGATACTCCGTGATGTTGCTCTCCTTCAGCCCCGTGTCCAGGTATGCTGCACACAGCGCCTGGTGGGGTGGGGGAGGGGGGGGAGGATGGGGTGGATGGGAGCAGAAGTGAAGGGAGGAGGGAGGGTGATGTTGCTTTCCTTCAGCGCTGTGTCCAGGTATGCTGCACACAGCGCCTGGTGCGCAAAAGGAAGGAAGTGAAGGGAGGAGGGAGAGTGATGTTGCTTTCCTTCAGATTTGCGTCCAGATATGCTGCACACGGGGCCTGGTGTGGGGGAGGAGGACGGCGTTAACACAGTGAAGGAAGGTGAAGGGAGGATGGGGGGGTGTGATGTTGCTTTCCTTCAGCCCTGTGCCCAGGTATGCTGCACACAGCGCCTGGTGGGGTGAAGGGGGAAAGTGGGGAGGATGATGGGAAGATGTGGGGAGGATGTGGGGAGGATGGAGGCTACGTTGGCAGATACGCGCTTAGTGGGAATATACGCTCAAACCCTAAAGCGTATAGCGTATACACGCTAGCGTGTGTACGCAAAACGCAATACGCTATACGCTATCAGAAAAAATTTCGGGCTGCCCAGGGAAAAAAATCGCTTGTGTACAGAAAGATGCGGAATCTTCTGCTGAGCATTTCGCCTAAGTCGAAATGCAATTTGACGGTCTAGGGAAGCGGGAGTGGGCCTTCGAAGTTGCAGGCAGTTCAAATTTGAACATTAGATTGGTACCGCATTGGAACCCATATTATCTACGAATTCCAACCTGTCAAAAACGTGCCCCACCAAACCCCACTCACGCTACTTACCAGCCAGCAAAATTCCAGTCGTCATTTCTAGTTGGCATTCCCACTTTCTAACAGCAGAGCTCCTTCCGATTCCTACCTACTTCTCCTTTTAGTGTCTACTCCACGTCCCACCCCAATCGCCGTTCAGACTTAGGGAAATGCTACGAAAGTCTTAATGAGAATAGGGATCACCTTCTTAATCTTGAGCACGACGTCTTTTTCACCCTGCCCGAGATAGTTTTTTACCTGCCCGAAAAAGCGTATTACCAAATCGACCCTTAAGCGTTTAGCGTATATACGTTAGCGTATATACGATACGCGTATATACGCTATAAGCGTATATTCCCACTAAGGATACGCGTCCCAGGGTATAATACGCTAGCGTATTATACGCTGGGTATATACGCGGTACGCCAGGGCTGGCGTACTGGTGATACGCAAAAATACGCTGGGCGGGCAGGTAAAACTTTTTTCCCGGGCAGGGCTAAAAAAACCTGTTTCAGGGGGGGGGATTGTTTTCCAAGAACACAAGTCATAATTTAAATTTCATAAATATCCAGAAATACATATTTGGGGCTACTTCTCCCCATACATCCCCACCCCACCCTCTAGCTAGCTTCCCCACAACCGATTTCCTTGCGGGGCTTTTCCACCACCACACCTTCCCCATACTCATCCGCCAGCACTGCATCCTCTCCTTCCTCCCCCAGCATGTCATCCTCCTCCTCATCCATGTTATAGCCGGGGGGGATAGGGGCATCCGGGATGTTACCGGGCACAACCGTGCTGCCCCCATCCTTCTTGTACCAATTGCGCACAACGTTCCAGTTGTGCGCAATGTAGATGAGGTCCGCACACTTGGCGGACCTGAGCCGGTTGCGGCGGGCGGTGTGGACGCCTTCCCACTGCGCCCAGCCACGCTCGCATGGGGAAGCCGAGACGGGCTGAGTGAGCACCCGGCATGCGAGGGCGGCAAGCTCAGGATACTCGGTGCTGTGCCACGACCACCACTGCACCATGCTCATCTCCCCCTTCTTCACTGCCTCCCTTGCAGAAATGGCGCCCGGCTTGCCAAGTAGTGGTGCTCGATGTAGTCCTTGAACACCCGCGTGCACTCCACATCGTTCCTGAAAATTCCCTCCTCCTGGTTGGCCGGATTCAGGATGCGGCCAACCACATGCATGGGGCAGGCAAGGGAGTTGTCCCACCTGTCCTTCACAATCTTGGTGATGACTGCCCTCTCTGTCCGAGTCAAGAAGTCACTTGAAGCGTCGAGCTTGTCATTGATGTCCTCGGTAAGCTGTAGCATGATGTCATACAGCTTACCCATCATGCCTTTCGCGGAAGAGTCCGTGGCCCGCATGGCCTTGAATGGCACCGCCATGAGAGAGGTAAAGAACTCCGCCACCCCCCACCACTCCTCATCCATCACAGCAGCCCTGAATTTCTCAGCTGCTGTCTTCCTATCCTTGTCCGCCGCTGCCCACACCTTCCACTCGTCGCTGAGCACCATCGCCGCCAGCCCACTCCTCACCTCACATAGCCGGGCCATGGCTATGTATTGTGTCCCGAACCTGGTTCCCGCAGGCTTGAGCACCTGCTTCCCCCCCACTTTCTTCATATAGGCACGGGTAAAGTGGTGGTTGCGCACGAAGGTAATCATCTCCCCTTCTTTCTCCACAAGCCCCTTCGCCCATCCCATTTTGCCCATATCTTCCATCATCAGGTCCAGGACATGCGTGGCACATGGCACATGCTCAATGTGCGGCCATGTGCTCGCTATCTTCTTGGCGGCCGATGCATAGTTGCTGCCGCCATCGGTGCAGACCGCCACCACATTCTCCGGCCCCACCTTATCAATGACGGGGCGGAGAAGGCTGGCGATGTACCCCCGGGTCTTCGACTCCATGTTGCAGTCCACCGCCTGCTCGAAAACTGCGCCGGAGTCGTTGACAAGGAGCACGTTGGCCTGCGGGCGGCCACAACGGTCGGTCATCATGTCCGACGACACCGTTACCCCGTCCCGCTTCCAGCTCGCGGCAACGGGGGCGAACGCGACCTCCATTTTCTGCCGCACCTTCTTCAAGCCTGCCCCTCCAATGTAGCGCCTCTTAGGAGGGACGCACCCAGGTCTAGCGCGCGCAATGCACTGGACCGCGTAGCGGAAGACCGGATCGGACGCGGATAACGCGCTTTGCCTTCTGTTCCCGAACCTAGTTCGGGACGATCCGATCGTCCGCAATTTCGGATTTTTTTTTTTCGCCGGGCTGCCCGGCCGTATTTTCGCGAATTCAGAGCGTATCAGCGTATCACGCATATACGCTAGCGAATATACGTGATACGCCAGCCTTTCAAGAGCGTATCTGCCAACATAGGATGGAGGGAGGGGGAAAGCGGGTAGTTAATGAGGTGAGGGGTAGAAAGGGAGATTGATGTGGTGCGCATGAGAGAGTGGGGAGGAAGAGAGGAGAACGAGGGGAGGAAGACGGGGAGAAAGAGGGGGAGAAAAAGGGGGAGAAACAACAGAAACAGCACCCACCTTCCAAGCAGCTTCCATCTCATGGTCGTACTCCTTCCAACGGGGAGGCGTGCCGGGTGTCTTGATGGCAAAGTCGTAATATGTAGGGCTGAAATGGAACGGGGCGAGGTGAGGGTGGGTGTGGTGCGGTGTCGGGCGATGGAGGAGGGAGGGGGGGGAGGGGGGGGGGGGGGGGGGATTTTGCATGAATGCAAAGCTCCTGAAATTCTGAGCTATAAAATAAACAAACGGGGCTGCAGGAAAGAAAATAGATAGAATGAATCGTCTTAAGCCGACGCAAAGTCCCTTCTGATGGTGAAGTCAGAAAACAATCGCTTGGTGTGGGGACATAAAATGAGATGGTGAAGTGAGTGACCTTGGAACTTATTTATTAGGCTCATTTGATGGTGAAAGCAGAAGAACGAGAATGGGTGCTAGAGGGAATATGGTGACGTGAGGGGGAGACGAGGAGGGGGGGGACCAGTGAGGTGGAGCAGAGAAGGGCAGAGCAGAGCATCTAAGTGGATACAGGCGGAGGGGTGAGAGAGAAGTGCACTCACGTGCGAACCATGGTGAGGCGAGTGCCGTTCATCACATAACTGAAGGGAGAGGAGAGGAGGGGGGAGGGGGGGGGGGGGGGGGGGGGGGGGAGGAAGGGAAGGGAGGGGAAGGGAGGGGGAGAGGGCAGTGCAGTGCAGTGCAGAGGGATGCGGGGATAAATTCTGCCCTGAATCTGAGTGTAACCATTTACATTAAGATGAGAGTATGTGCTGTTTAAGATGTAGCTCTGAAGGCGTCACACGGAAGGGGGGAGTGGTGGAGTGGGGTTGAAGAGGGAGAGAAGATGATGCAAGTAACTGCGGCGAGGCAGCAAGGCAGCACAGCTGCAAGGTGATACGTATTCATGAATGACAAAGGCAATGAGGATAGAGCATAAAGGGGAGAGCACAGGAAGTGAGGGGAACAGGAGGGGAGGAACAGAGGAGGGAACGAGCACAGGAGGGGAGGAGCACAGGAGGGGAGGAGCACAGGAGGGGAGGAGCACAGGAGGGGAGGAGCACAGGAGGGGAGGAGCACAGGAGGGGAGGAGCACAGGAGAGGGGATGCGCCCGCAGCGTGCAGCTCGCAGCGTGCATTATCCGGGAGCGGCGGTGCTGTAGCACGGCATGACCACCCAGTCATCCTTGCGAATGAAGAGGCGCCTCTAAACTATGACCGCATTGCACTGTATTGTCACCCACCCAGGAGTGGCGGTGCTGTAGCAAGGAGTGACCACCCAGTAGTCCTCCCCTATCACTTTCCACAGCTCCTCTGCGTCCTTCGCCGCCTTGATCTACACCAGGAAGGGGGAGAGAAGATAAGATTTTTTTTTTTAGGCGCCTCAATGAGGTGACCACCCAGTAGTCCTCCCCGATCACTTTCCACAACTCCTCCGCGTCTTTTGCCGCCTTGATCTACACAAGGGGACAGACGATCAATTTTCACTGAGACCGAAAATGAAGATGAAGAATAATAATAATAAAAAAAAAACAAAAAATGTAAACTACTTGCCTCATTGCTCTCATGTGACACGTCTAGACAAAAGCCATGACAAAAGCCATGACAAAAGCCATGAAAGAGAAGAATTTTGAGAGCTTTGACTCGAGAGTGCCTCAAAAGCATCAGAACTCTGTACTGAGAGGAAACCCACCTGTGCTTTCATCTCTGGTGTGATTTCGACGGGGTTGTTGTGCCCGTTCCACACGCCATCATCCAGCATTCGCCCCTTCATGATGTCCAGCGCTCTGATAAACATGCGTGCACGCATGCACACACACAGACATGGGCGCACACACACACACACACCGGACGCACGCACGCTCGCACACACACACGCACACACTCCCCCTCCCCCCCCCCCCTCTCCGCCCCCCCCTCCCACACACACGCACGCAAGACAAAAGCACAATAGACAGAAACACACTTACTCAGCAGGAAGACACGTAGCACAGAGAGACCAGCAGACAGCACTAAAGGCAAAACAGTAAAGCACGGATGGAGAGGAGAGTAGCGGCAGGCAGGGAAGGACATGCACATGCACTGGTGAAAGATAAAAGCACTTGGCTTTAGTGATTGTTTGTTCGTCTTTTACTGATGTATGCCCGCGTTGTTCTTCATCTGTTTTGAAGCACCTGGAAGCCTGGTTTTGAGACACTGGTGCTGTTTCGAGGCACCTCAAAACCCCGACCCGAGTCAGGGGACCTCAAACCCATGGCACAGCACGGCACGGCACGGCATGGCACAGCACGGCACGGCACGGCACGGCACGACACGGTACAGCACGGTACAGCACGGTACAGCAGGGCACGCACAGCACGGCACGGCACGCACCAGTCAAAGATGAAGTAGTAGCGGCTGTTCTTCGTCTGGCCCACCAGCATGGCTAGCTAGCATTGGTCAACGATAAACAGCCCATGGCACAGCAAGGCATGTCACAGCACGGCACAGCACGGCACGGCATGATACGCACCGATCAAAGATGAAGTAGTAACGGCTGTTCTTCATCTGCCCCACCAGCATGGCTGTCACGGACCCAAAGCCCTCCTCAAACTCCTTGGCTCTGAGGGATGGGAGAGGTGAGGAAGGAGGCAGGCAGGAGAGAGACAAATTACGGGGGCCCTCAAAATTCACCAGCATGGCTGGCTGTCACAGACCTAAAATAAAACCCTCGAGCTCTTTGGCTATGAGGGATGGGAGAGGTGAGGAAGGCAGGCGGAAGATAGGAGGGGCTGTGAAGAAGACATTGCGACAACCGCTCCTTCAATCTGCAACGATTTGTTCCCCCCTCTTTGCAATCTAACCCTCCCCCCCACCTGTAAAACAATACTCCTTGCTAAGCACTCCTCTACACTACAACCCCCCCCCCCCAATGCACGCACGTGAGTTTGTCGATCCACACCACAGGGTCAATGGGTTCAGCCAGCTGACGCCACTTCACCACACGGTCATAGATCTCCCTCCACCCGCCGATCGTCTCCCCCGCCTTCCCTTGCGTCTTCCCTTGCGCCTTCCCTTTCTCCGCCTCACCCCCCCCACCCCTCCTCTCGCGCCCCCGCGACCGCCGCCCCTGCTGCTCCTCCTCGTCCTCTTCCTCGTCGTCTTCCTCCTCCTTCTCTTGCTGCTGCTTGTTGTTTCTTCGCCTGCGATCCTGCGTCTTGCTGCGCTGCCTCTGCTCCTGCCTGTCCTCCTGCTTTGCTCCCTCTGACTCTCCCTGCTGCTCCTCCTGCTCCTGCTGCTGCTGCTGCAGCTGCTGCAGCCGCTGCTGCCTCCTCCGCCCCCTCCTGCTCCCACTACCACCAGCAGCAGCACCACCCCCATCACCGCCCCGACCACCACCAGCAGAAGCAGCAGCAGCAGCCCGTCTGTCTCTCTCCTCCGCCATGACTGCCCATGTGCGGCGCACCAGGTCTCGAAGGTCCATCATTGCCAACCCTGCCATGCGGTACTGGTGGGGGTGGGAGGGAGAAGAGGGAGTGCGAAGGAAGGGAGAGGAAGGGAAAAGGGGCGGGGAGAGGAGCGAGGTGGGAGAGTTCCATCATTGCCAGCCCTGCCATGCGGTACTGGTGGGGGTGACCCATGCACCCAGGGGGGAGGACGGGAAAGAAGAGATGCGGGGGATTGAGGCGGGGGAGGGGGCGGGGGGGGGGGGGGGGGGGTATAGGCGCTTGTTGGGAAGACACCCCTGCCAGTCGTATTTCACCAGGGACCCCAGCTTCTCTGCTGCTTGCAGCAACGCACACACCTGCCTTGAGGTACCACAAGCAAAACCTTGGGGGTTCACACTCACACTCACCCACACACACTCACCTGTCTCTTGTTGGGCAGGAATCCCTGCCAGTCGTATTTCACCAGGGACCCTAGCTTCTCCGCTGCTTGCAGCAACGCGCGCATCTGCTTCGAGAAGGTTAGGCGGTAACCGGCGTTCTCGGAGGGCGGGAGGCGGGCCACCTGCAGCACCGGCTGCATTTCGTATCCGGGGAAGAGGACCATTGGGGGCATGCGCTTACTCCACCCTTCCTGTTGTGGTGGGGGGATTGTGAAGGGAATTGTGAGAGGTAACTTAAGAAACAGATGCATTTCGTATCCGGGGAAGATTTTTGAGTCGACTCAAAAATAGAAACAGATGCATTTCGTATCCGGGGAAGAGGACCATTGAAGGCATGCGCTTACTCCACCCTTCCTGTTGCCGGGTAAATGGGAGTGTCAAGGGAAGCGTGAATGTCAGTTCCCGCTCCCTCTGCCCCACATCAAGGGTGAGCAGAAGGAAAGCCATACCCTTTGGCCGTGCGTGGCTGGAGCGCTTTGAGAGTCATCCAGGCAGGTAGCATGTCAGTCAGCCTCGCATCAAGACAGGCCCATGGCGTGAGCGGAAGGGAAGGGGCGCCGTACCTTGAAGGTGGGGTTGAGCTCGTCGTCTATCTGAGTGCTGGCAGGGCAGGGGCTTGTGCCTCCTCATGGCAGTTGAGGCGCCTCAAAAGAATGGCCAGGTAGCATGTGTAAGCTTACCTATCAACAATGAGCGGACTAGAGGCGCACCTTAAAGGTGGGGTTGAGCTCGTCGTCTATCTTGAGTGCTGGCAGGGGCTTGTGCCTCCTCATGGCCAGGTAGCACGTCAGCTCCCTCTGTGTCATACCCACGGTGTGAGGGACGGTGGGGAAGAGCGGGGAAGAGGGAGAGGTGGGAGGGGAGAGGGGAGGAGGGAAGGGTGGAAGGGAGGGGTTGAAACGATGTGGCATGTGGTATGTCGTGTGTATGCCGTATGCACTTTTGCTGTAGGCCGTACGCATGCATGCACTACATAGTACGTAGGGGATGTGATACAATAGGTATCCACGTAAGTGCACTTTTGAGGCGCTTCGAAACTATGTCCATGTATGCAGGTAGTAACATAACATAGGCGTACGCCGCCGTACGGTACTTGGTAGAAGGCCTGGAATTGCTTGGTCCTCTCCTCGTCTGGCGGGAAATCTTTTGAGGCGCCTCAAAAGTCGCCTCAAAAGGCGCCTCAAAGGTCGTATGCAGGTAGTAAATTAGTAACATAGCATAGGCGTACGCCGCATACGTACTTGGTAGAAGGCCTGGAATTGCTTGGTCCTCTCCTCGTCTGGTGGGAAATTGATACCAAGAAAGCTGTCATACAATTGCACCTGGGAGGGAGGCGGGAGAGATTCAATGTGAAGTGGGGCAATTCACTAGGGATGATGCTTGATGCTGGGGGATGCTGGGGGATGATGGGGGATGATGGGGGATGATGGGGGATGATGGTGGATGATGGTGGATGATGGTGGATGATGGTGGATGATGGTGGATGATGGTGGATGATGGTGGATGATGGTGGATGATGGTGGATTATGGTGGATGATGGTGGATTATGGTGGATGATGGTGGATGATGGTGGAATATGGTGGATGATGGTAGGGGACGAGCCACGGGTTTAGAGATCGCACATAGGATGGGAATGTGAGCAATCCGTTATCCAGGTGCTTCAAAAGAAGAAGAGGTGGATGATGGTGGGTGGGGTGGGGTGTAAAACTCGTTCGTGGGCCCGCGGCGGGCAGCACAGGGCGTGCAGCAGGGCGGTGTAGCACGGTGCAGCGCGGTGAGCAGTCTCAAAACGGGAGGGAGGGAGGGAGGGAACTCACTGCTTCGGAGAAGAGTCCGAGTGCATGCACGGAGGAGGAGGGAAGGAGGAGGCTTCAGTGTAATGTAACCCTCTGAGCTGGGAAGTCTAAGGAAGCAGGAAGGGAGAGAAAAGGAGAGAACACACACCGCTTCGGAGAAGAGTCCGAGTGCGTGCACGGAGGAGGCTTCAGTGTAGCGCAGATCCATGTCGTTTGGCAGCAGCTGGAGCCCATGCCTCGCCACTAACAGCGCGGTCCTGGAGGGATGGGATGTGGACGTAGAGAGAGGAGAGGAGTGTTGAGATGCCTCACAACTGCAGTTTATGCCGTGCCACTGCTTGCACGGTGGGTTCTGGGTCGGCCGCCGATTCAATAGTCCACAATGCCTCGCTTCTGCTAGTGTGTTCTAGAGGGCGGATGGTGGGCGTTAGTCATGAGCAAGCTATGTCACATTATCATCATACATTGTAACCTGCATCTATCCTATACGCTTCAATTAGAGATAGACACCCAAACTCAGTTTGGGTGTACAACTAGGGTTAACCCTAGTTGGGTGTTGGAACTCAACCTTGGCCCAATCATTTGGGTTTCCAAGATTGGGAGATTATTGGTCCCCCAATAATGTTGACCCACCTTTGGTCAACATTGTTGGTCCCCCAATAATTCATCAACCCAACTTATTGATGGGAGCCAATAATGTTGGCTAGGTTCCCAACCAAACCCCCCTTTCCTAGCACACCTATGTATACCCTCATATTTGCTAATCCAAGTATCGGTTCATCTTCACGTTTTGTCACAAGCTAGTGAAAAACAGACCAGGTACAGGAACAGGCACAGGCACAGGCACAGGCACAGGCACAGGCACAGGCACAGGCACAGGCACAGGCACAGGCACAGGCACAGGCACAGGCACAGGCACAGGCACAGGGACACACCCACACCCACACCCCCACCCACACACCCACAACTCCATACACACATACGCACACACACACCCACCCACCTGTGATCCCCCATGGCGTGCTTGAACTGGCTGTACACACGGTACGCCTGCGGGCAGTGCGCTGGTCGACCCACATTGCACAGGCACGCACACCCACATGCAGACACACTAGCACACACACACAAACCCACCCACCCACACCGCACCACACCCACCTGTGGTCCCCCATGGCCTGCTTGAACTGGCTGTACACGCGGTACGCCTGCGGGTGCCGCGGGTCGAGCCTCAGCGCCTTGAGGTAGCTCTTCTCTGCGTCCTCCACGCGCCCCAGCTCCCGCTGAGACTGCGCCAGCTGCAGCAGCACGTCCCTGTTGCTGCCGTCGCGCTTCAAAGCTTTCTGGAACGCCTCGATTGCCATGTCGCAGTCGCCGCCAGATAAATATGCCTGGCCCTGTGACAGGGAGAAGCAGGAATGGAGTGGGGTGGTGTGCGGTGGAATGCAGTGGGGTGAGGTTGGTGTCTCCAGAGACACTTGTCGCAGTCGCCGCTTGATAGATACGCCTGGCCCTGTGACAGGGAAACGGGGGTGGCAGGGAAGGGGGGGTTGGGGGTGGGGAGGGGAAGGGAGGGAACGGGGATGGGGGCGAAGCAGAGGAAGGGGGGGGTGGAGAGGAAGGGGAGCGGAGGAGAGTGAGAGAAAGGTACAAAAGAAGGGGTGGTTGGAGGTAGGTCTTCTCTGCCTCCTCCACGCGCCCCAGCTCGCGCTGTGACTGCGCCAGCTGCAGCAGCACATTCCTGTTGTAGCCGAGCCGTCCCGTGCTACTAACGCTGCTTGAAAAGTGTCCACTGCCATGTGACTGGCTGCCATGTGACTGGCTGCCATGTGGTTGAAAAGTGTCCCATTTCTGAGATGTCGCAAACACGAACGACGTACCAGGTGGGTGATAGCAAAGGCGTTGGTTGGGTCCTTCTGAAGCACGTACTTGATGTCCCGCACTGCATCCCAGTTCGCCTTCGCCCTCAGGTGCGCCATTGCTGGTGGTGCCACACGCGTGTGGGTTACATGCCATGCCATGCCATAGCATGCCGTGCCATGCCATGCCATGCCATGCCATGCCGTGCCATGCCATGCCATACCATGCCATGCCGTGCCATGCTATGCCATGTCATGTCATGTCAAGCGGTGACGTGACGCGCCATGCCATCCCAGACCGTGTCATGTCATGCAGTGGTGATAAATGTTGTGAGTGAAGCATGCGTGCATGCATGGATGGATGGAAGGATGGAGGGATGGGTGGGGGGTGGTAGGTAGTTGATGCCTAGCACTAGCAGCACATGCAGAAAATCGCAAGTTGTGTGGGTCAGGGTACCTCGATGTGATGTACGATCAACAATCGCCCCACATTACAGACGAAGTGATAAATGCATTACTTTGGAAAAAGCTGTAGCTTCAAATGTTACATGCAATGCAAGCACTGTGTAGGTACTGGCAGATGAGTCATCTCATCACCAACAGCCCTAAAACATGCCTCGCGAGTTGCAGCAAAGTACCTTGCAGGACCGGGCTTTAGCAGCACCATACCCTGCGAAGCGAACCGGCTGTAGCTAGCACGCGCACGCACCTCGCTCATTGTAGGCCTGCAGGTTTGTTTGTTTTGAGCCGACTCAAAACACACACCTGTAGTGCCATACCTTGGGAAGGGAAGCGGCAGTAGCACGCGCGCGCATGCACTTCGTTCGTTCTAAGCCTTTAGGTTGGACGGATCCAGCTCCAACACATGGCTCAGATCCTTCCTTCTGCTAAAAGGGCTCCACGTTGCAGCTCAGTTCTCTTCCCCATGAGTGAGTGAGGAGGACCCCTGGGACCCCACACTCGTGTACCATTCCTTGGGGGAACGAACCGGCTGTAGCACGGCACTGGCTGTAGCACGGCACTGGCTGTAGCACGGCACTGGCTGTAGCACGGCACTGGCTGTAGCACGGCACGCACCTCGCTCATTGTAGGCCTGCAGGTTGTGCGGTTCCAGCTCCACCACACGGCTCAGGTCCTTCACAGCCTGTGGGGAGGGATGGTAGGGAGAGGTGGAGAGAGGTGGGGAGAGGTGGGGAGAGGTGGGGGAGAGAGGTGGGGGGGACATTTGAGGCGCTTCAAGGAGGGGATTTTATTGCCTGGTCCCAGCTACAGCACACGGCTCAGATCCTTCACTGCCTGTGGGGCGGTGGTGGAGAGAGGTGGAGAGAGGTGGGGAGAGGTGGGGGGCACATTTGAGGCTCTACAAGAAAGGGATTTGATTGTCTGGTCCCAGCTACAGCACACGGCTCAGATCCTTCACTGCCTGTGGGGCGGTGGATGAGATAATGGGATGGGATGAGGTGGGTTGGTGGGGCGGTGAGGAGAGGTGGGGTAGTAGGGTAGGGTGGGTGGTGAATGAGATGATGGGAAGAGATAACCTAGGTATGGTATGGGCACCCCGTGCAACCCCTCCTTCAAGCCTATGCACCCCACATCCCCTATCCCACACACCTTCTCAGTCTCCTCCCTAACCATTCACCTCTCACCTACCCTTGCACCACCTTCACCCATCCATCATCACCCTCCTCGAACCCCATGCACCACTCCTCACCTCTTCAGCCTGTCCATCTGCCATGCGAGCCTGTGCCTCTGCTATGCACCACCCTCCTCACCCACCCGTCACCCTCCTCACCCATCCACCACCCTCCTCAAACCCCATGCACTGCTCCTCACCTCTTCTGCCTGTCCATCTGCCATGCGTGCCTGCGCTCGCCTCCTCCATGCCTCTGCCATGCGCGGCTCCTCCTCTATCGCCTGATATGGGCATGCAGAGGGGGGTAAAACCCAGAGAGGGAGAACCAGGGCGGGTGGAACCCGGGCAGGGAGAAGAAGAGGGCGAGATGGAGAGACTCAGGGAGAGAGGGTGGAAGAGAGAGGGTGGGAGGAGAGAGGGTGGAAGGAGAGAGGGCGGACGGAGAGAGGGCGGACGGAGAGAGAGCGGACAGAGAGATTGAGACGGTACAGGTTCGTTCCTTATCTTCTCCTTTTGAGATCACACCTCTCAGAAGACATTCATGTTTAAGATGTCCCAAATGTCGCTTACAATATCGCTCCTTCCTGCCTCCTTTTCTTTTCCAGCCCACGCAGAAGCAGCCTACTCCATAGTGGTCTCACTCACCAAGAAGGTTTCATTTCAGAGATTTCCCCACAACGAGAGGTGAGTGAGTCAGGTGGCTATATTGAGACGAGATGACTTTTGAGTCGACTGAAAAGTCAAAAGAGATTTCCCCACCACTAGAGGTGAGTCAGGAGACTACTGAGACGACTCAACACCTTTCTTGTCCTGCCGCACACACGCTGTGCCGTGCCATGCCCCTTCTTCTTTCCCCCTGCCTAGAACGCACACACACACACACACTTTACCTTTCCGTTCAGCCATGCATCTCCCACCCAAGTGCTGTGCATCCCTCCTGTGGTGAAGAACCTGCAAGAACTGACCTTGGAGTAGTCCTCTATGGCCGTCTTGAGCTTGCCCCACAGCGCATACGCCGTGCCTCTGCCGATCAGCGCTGCCGACACCAAGTGCCCTTTTTTTATCATCTGCAGGGGAGCAGCGGAGGAAGAGGAGGGGGGGAAGTGCGGGGGGGGAATTGGGGGGGGGAGTATATTGTTGAAGGTATTGAGGTGTGAAGTGGTGGTGATGGCAACAGGAGGAAGGGTGGTGAAGACGCATGCGCCATGTTTTGAGGCGCCTCGAAAATTGTTTCGAGGCGCCAAAAAAACAGCAAGTGAAGGGCGCATATGCCGTGCTTCTGCTGAACCAAGCAGCCGGCGGCACCAACAGTGGCTGCTTTAGCTTTTGTTTAATGGATAGGTTGGGGGGAAGGAGGGAGGGAGAAAGAGGGAGAAGAAGGGATTGAGGTTGGGTTTGGTGACACAAGTGTAAGTGTACCATGGGATTGCCTATTGGTGGGAAGACAATAGACAAGTCACATGCACTCACCATGCTAAACATGTTGGTTGTCATTCTGAACGCTTAACACTTACCGTGCTGAACATATCGTGCTGAACACCTACCGTCTCAAACCTCAACACTTACCGTGCTGAACACTTAACACTTACCGTCTCAAACCTCAACACTTACCGTGCTGAACACTCAACACTTACCGTCTCAAACCTCAACACTTACCGTGCTGAACACTCAACACTTACCGTCTCAAACCTCAACACTTACCGTGCTGAACACTCAACACTTACCGTCTCAAACCTCAACACTTACCGTGCTGAACACTCAACACTTACCGTCTCAAACCTCAACACTTACCGTGCTGAACACTTAACACTTACCGTCTCAAACCTCAACACTTACCGTGCTGAACACTAAACACTTACCGTCTCAAACCTCAACACTTACCGTGCTGAACACTTAACACTTACCGTCTCAAACCTCAACACTTACCGTGCTGAACACTTAACACTTACCGTCTCAAACCTCAACACTTACCGTGCTGAACACTTAACACTTACCGTCTCAAACCTCAACACTTACCGTGCTGAACATGTCGATTGCCTGCTGGAAGTTGCCTGTGTTGACCTGGTGAGAAGGCCAGAGGGGAGGGAAGGAGAGGAAAGGGGCGAGGAGAGGCGCGGGGAGAGAAAAGGGGAGATGGGAGGAAAGATGTGAAAGGAGAGGTGAGGGGAGAGGTGGGATGGAACGAGACAGGGGTGCTGTGAGAACACTTTGCTTTACTTTCCTTCAGTATTTACCACTTGGCACTTGCTGTCTCTCCATTCGAATGGAGTGGTGGCGGGAGGGAAGGAGTGAGAGAGGGAGGGAGTGCAACACACACACACACACTCTCACACACACACACACACTCACACATACACACACACACACACCCAGCCCACACACACACACACACACCCAACCCACACACACACACAGACAAACACACACACACACACACACACACACACACACACACACACACACACACCCACACCCATCCACACGCACACACCTGCTGCACCGCCACCGACATGAGCATCTGTGCTTCTGCTGGCACCGACTCAGGCCCCCCACTCCCCCCCAGCCTCCCCTTCCCCCTTCTCTCTTCCTCCTCCTCCTCATCCTCATCCTCCTCCTCGTCTCTCCACTTCGCCTTCCCGCCACGGCCAGCCTTACCCTCCCTCCTCCCTGTCCCTTTTCCCCTGCCTGCTCCTCCTTCCTCTCCTCTCCTCTTCGACCCTGCCACTTCCTTCCCAGCCTTCCCAGCCCCACCGTCCCTCATCTTGCTCCCCTCATCATCCCTGGTCTTTGGCTCTGTGTTATCACCCTCTGTACCGCCTCTGCCTCGGCCTCTGTTCCTGCGGCCCTGGAGGCTGTCACTACTAGCCCTGCTTCCCCCATGAGAACCTGCGGAGGCAGCAGCAGCAGCAGCAGCAGCTCTTCCAGCTCTCTCCACTCTGTCTGCGCGCCTGTGCTTGCTGCGTGCGTTATCTTCTGCTGTGGCGCTCAGCTGCAGGCAAATGCTGGCGTCTAGGAGTGCAGGAAGGAGACGGGGAGGCGAGCACGGGAGGAGAGGCAGGGGCGGGGAGGAGGACGAAGAGGAGGGGGAGGAAGGAGAGAGGAAACTGCCACACGGGGTGGTGCTGCTGGTGCTGCTGCTGGTTTTTGTTCGTTTGGATGGGAGTGGTCGATGCAACACCTGGAAGGGAGCATCTGAGGTTTGCGAGGGAGCAAGAGGGCAAGAGGGCAAGAGGGCAAGAGGACAGGATAGAGATAATGTGCAAAGAAACGGGATTTTATTTCAGACGCCTCAAAAAACATCCGTGATTCCAAGGAACGGAGAAGAAAACAGGACACAGAACATTCAGAAAGAAACAGGCGAAACCAGGGCAAGAAATCAGGGCAAGAAATCAGGGCAAGAAATCAGGGCAAGAAATCAGGGCAAGAAATCAGGGCAAGAAATCAGGGCAAGAAATCAGGGCAAGAAATCAGGGCAAGAAATCAGGGCAAGAAATCAGGGCAAGAAATCAGGGCAAGAAATCAGGGCAAGAAATCAGGGCAAGAAATCAGGGCAAGAAATCAGGGCAAGAAATCAGGGCAAGAAATCAGGGCTTGGAAGGTAGAAAATTGCATGGATAACGGAGGGCAGGGAGGGGGGAGGAGGGGAAGTGGGGAGGGGGGGGGGGGAGGGAAGGGGGCAAATTTTTGGTACAGTGTAGGGTTCTGGGTTCCCTTCTGTACCAAACTGCGAGAGAGTGCCAGGGTGCGTTAAACATCCAAATCACCCCTCCCCCTCCCCCTCCCTCCCTTCCCCCCATTCTCCCTCCCTCCCTCTCCCCGCACATCCCTCCCTCGCCCTCTCCGTCCCTCCCAACCTCCTCCCTAAAGCCGCCACTCTTCATGCCATGCCACCCCATCACACCACACCACCACCATTCTCAAGTCAAGCAGATCAGATCAGACAGACCCCCTATCTGTCCCTCCTTCTTCCTGCACCTTTAGTCGGCAGCAGCAGCAGCTTGGGACAAACACTGTCCCCGCTGCTGCCCCCGCCGCTGCTGCCGCCACGAGCAGACACAGAGATGGGCTGCGGCTGAAAGCACACGCCTTTGGCGCTCGTGCTGGGTGGGGGGCGGTGGTGTGGGGGAGAGGCGGGAGGAATGGGGAAACGGGTCGGGTTATGAGATAACTGAAGCTGGACGGAAGGGCGAGAGAGGGCAGACACGGAGATGGGGTGCGGCTGTAAGCACACGCCCTTAACACTCGTGCTGGGTGGGAGGAGGGGGGGAGGGAAGGAGGAAGGAGAGGGGAAGGAGGGAGGGAGAAGGGGTCAGGCATTCGTGAAGGACTGAGGGACGTGGGGAGGAAGGGTTAGTGCGATGAAGGGGGGGTGGCGTGGGGGAAGAGGAGGATTGGCGGGGGGATGGGGGGAGGCGGGTTATGAGGGAGGGAGAGGGGTGAGGGACAAAATAAGGGAGAGGGTTTCGGGAATAAGCGGGGGAAGAAGTGGGGGAGGAGAATGGGATGCATGTGAAATTGTGCAAAATGCAACTTTCAACAGAAAACTACACTACCTTGCAGTACACTCCCATACGAACAACTCGCACATTACATCATACATGATACACTCATATCCGCGCACACTCAACTCGAGATGTGACATCTTCATTGTTACACCTCCTCACTCACCATATCCGCGCATCTTCCCCCCGCCACAAGCGCAGCCCCTCAGTCGTCGCCAGCAGCGCTTCTACCGCCTCCGCCTTCTCCGCCTCGCTGCACGCGCGCGGACCCGCCACGGCGGAGGGGAATGCGCCGCCCGCCAGTCCCGGGCCAAACCCGGGGAAAGTAACGGGTAAAGCGCGGCCAGGGGGAGGGGTGATGTGGCAGGCGGAGAGATTGAGAGCGAGACAGAAGAGATTAAGAGTTAAGTGGGAGGCCATATTTGGCCCGAGGGACGGCGCCGCGCAAAGCTGGACCGTTGCGGCGCGGCGGGAACTGATTTCGGCAAGGGATCAGATGGCGCGGTAGCGGATACTATCCACGCCCACGCGATGCGACGCCGTGCGACGCGCGCGCGACGTGCGAGCGACGTTCATGCGACGTGTAGGCGACGAGCGGCGACAGAGGTAACGCTGTGCTACGATTCCACGACGAAGAATGAGAGGCAGGAGGCGGTTAAACAGTGGTCAGAACGGAAGTGGTTGTCCGACCGGATGGAAGGGTATCCGCGTCGGTAGCAGAAGATCTAACCGGAAGCTCTGACCGGGAATTGGCAATGTGATCGAGTCGCGACTTCAAACGCTGTTTGATGACGACCTAAGACGAGAAAAACAATGCAATGGCGAAAAGGCAAGCGCGCCGAGCCCAGCGATCCTAGAGGGTCGGAGCGGAAAAGCGCATTGCGCTGCGACGCATCTCAATTGGACAAGCCGGCGTTCGCGACGGCGGAGGACGGGACTCGGCGCTGCGACACTCCGTCTGCGACACTCTCTAGTGAGCTACTCGGGCATTGTGGAGTGCCTGCATCAATTGACTGCCCATCAAGCAGACCAGTCAGTCATGCTGCTAGGTCCCCCCACCAAGTAATGGTACACGAAACGAAATGCTCCTTGGGGCTGTGGAGTGGATAATGAATTCTCGAAACTCTTCGCAGTTCCCAATTTGTGTATGTTTTCGAAGTAGTTTACCATGAACAACTACCACAACCAGGGTCGTTTTTGACACAGGCCGACAAATTGGCTGTTTCCATACCTACTTGGCTGCTGTGTTCAATCGCTCAGCCGTAGTGGGTTTTCCTGAACATTACTTAACCTTCTTTTCAAAATGGTTGGACACTTAGCGCATCTTGAACGAAGTTTGCGACCTCCATTCGATTGTCGTCCCTCGGAGTCCTGCGGGTCAGCGCTAGTTTTATAACCATGAATCTAAGATTCCGACATCCTACTTACCCTCCAAAATGGAATGGCAAGCACCCCTCATGACGAGAGTCCTCCCTGACTGGACAGTGTGATTCTTGCGTGGGGCTGCTCTGGTAGGCGAACGCCACCACCATAGCAGGTCTGGCGGTCTTGTAAATGACCCTTGTATAAGCACATGCGTTTCAGTCCATTTTGATATAATCGTTGAAGTCAAGACAGCTTGACGGTTTGCACATTAGGAGTTACGTTACAATTAAACTGATGCTGGATGCTATACTGTATCAGTAGTATCCCTTTTAGACCTAGTATTTGAATCTGAACTAAAGAGATGGCACATTTTTATTAGGGTACATTCCGGGCTCTGGTCAGAACCTCTGGTCAAACCTCTGGTTAACCGAAATCATGCCTATTTCTCACCAATTGTGCTAATTGTAAGGCTTTCTACAGTGTTAATCAGAGGTTTGACCAGAGGTTAGACCAGTGCCCGGAATGTACCCTTAGGCACACGTCTGTGAACTCAATTTCTCTGCATCGGCACCATAAGGTACTAGCAAGCATGATGCATCATTCCTGGGGTACAGTTCCGTAGTTTCGAGCATGTCAGCTATGCCTTGATGCCAACAAACGTGCGCTCGAAAACCGAGTTAGCCATAAGCCACACACACTCAGCATAACGGAAGGAAACAGGAAGAGCCTCAGTCAACTGCTGCGTCAATAACTCTTTGTCTCTGGAAAAATGGAGGGGACAGGGAAAGATGGAATAGGGGAGTTGAGAGTAACCAAAAAGAAAAGGCACAAACAAACAAACAAACAAAAACACACAGATTGAGAAGTACCAATAACTGGCCCACAAGTTTTCAATCCTACCCTCGTCCCTGCAACTTCATCTTCAAAGCAACCCCTTTTACGGTAAGTCGACTGAAATCCATTCCTCACCTCACCTGCCTTGCTCCCGGCACTTCATGGTAACCACCAGTATTCCCCCCGAGGCCAGCACAGGCAGCAGCAGACTTTTGATTCAACGCAAAGGTAAAGTTAAGTGCATTCCTCACCTGCATCGCCCTCGGCACTTGATGGTAACCACCAATATCCCCCCCGAGGCCAGCGCAGCACAGGCTGTTGAGTCGACTCAAAGGCTGACTATCAAACCGGCTCAAGAGTCAAGACTCAGAAATACTATTCCTCACCTGCCTCGTCCGCGGCATTTCATGGTAACTACCAGTATTCCCCCCGAGGCCAGCGCGGGCAGCAGCGGCGCCACGAGCGTTGCAGCCTGCAGGGGGTGCTTGTTGGCGTCACAGAACAGACCGTGGCACATGGCAGCACCAACACCACCACCATGCTCACTGCTCCCTGCTGACAGGGGTACGGTGCTTGCACTGCTGGCAATGCCGCTGCTGCTGCTGCTGGTGCTGCCAGTGCTGGTGCTGGTGGTGGTGCTGGCTACAGCGGTGTCTGTCCCTGGTTCATGCACTCTATCATAATCATGCCCATCAGCAGCAGTGGGCTGTGGTTGAGAAGAATCAGCTTGGCAGGCCAGGGACCATGCTTGCACGTCGTCCCACGCATCCTCCACCTGCCCATGCCACCACAAGTGATACGAGCAGCACAGAACAATCATTGAGACCTCTCAAACATCGACTGTAAGGAGAATCCGCTTGGCACGCCAGGGACCATGCTTGCACGTCGTCCCACGCATCCTCCACCTGCTCATGCCACCACATGCCATACGAGCAGCAAAGCACAATCAGAACGGCACTGAAAATCAGATCTCAAGGGAATCTTTAAACTGTAAATCTGTCCTTTAAAACACCTGATAATCAGACTTTCGAAGTGCCTCAAACGTGGTCTATATAGCCATCTCAAGCCCCACACACCACCCCATCCCTCCTCACCCTCAATCTCACTATCTTCTTCACGTCAGTGACGTTCCCCCGGGCCGTGACAGCAGGCGACAGGGCTTAAACCCACGTCAAATGTTACAGCCGCCTCAAAGCCCCGATCCCTTCCCCATCCCCTCACCTCACCATCTTCTTGATATGGGTGACGTTCCCGCAGGCCGTGACAGCAGGCGAGAGGGCTCTTAAGTACCTGAAAGAGTATTCTTGAAGCGCCTAGAAACCACACCCTTCCCCCCACAACCTCACCATCTTCTTGATATGGGTGACATTCCCGCAGGCCGTGACAACAAGGTAGCTACCCCCACAGGGACCAGGCCACGATAGGTACTCATTCGAGCCACTTCAACACCCCCTCCCCCCCCCCCACAACCTCACCATCTTCTTGATATGGGTGACGTTCCCCCGGGCCGTGACAGCGGGTGAGAGGGCTGCAGGGTCGATGGCAAGCACGTGGCGTATCCTGGCGCTCAGATACTCGGTCCATGCCCCCGGTGCTGCTCCTACATCCATGGCTGGGGAAGGGAAGGGGGGAGGGACAGAGGGGGGGAGGGAGGGATGGATTGAGGGAGGGAGATAGGAAAGGGGTGCAAGAAGGGGGAGCGTTTGATTCAGGGTCGATGGCAAGCACATGGCGCACCCTGGCGCTCAGATACTCGGTCCATGCCCCCGGTGCTGCTCCCACATCCATGGCTGCGTGGAGGGAGGGAGGCGGAGAGGGAGGACGGGAAAGAAAAGGACAGAGGGGAGAGGGTTAGAAGGGAGCGCCTTTGTTTTTGCAGCTCGAAGAAAGTTGCTGCTGCTGCTTGCTTCTCTCATATTTCGATCAACCCCCCCCCCTCCTCCCCCCCCTTTCCACCACACGCCATGCCTTGGAATGTGATGGCACACTTAAGAAATCAACACAGGAAATCCAGAAGTAGTTCAAGACGCTTAACCAAAGAGAAGCAGCCAAATCACCCCTCACCTGCCAAACCCCCCCTCAGCCGCCACCCCACCACGTGCAGCACCTACTCCAGCTTGCTCACAGGATCAATTGCACACCAATCAAGCAACTGCCCTACACCCCTCCCTATCCCTCAAGCCACCACCACCCTTATAACCCCCTCCCCCTCCCCCTCACCTGACATATCTCCCTTCAGCCGCCACCCCACCACGTGCAGCACCTCCCCCAGCTTGCTCACGGCGCTGCTGGCACACCAACCAACCGAGCAACACTCCTACACCTTATTCTCGCCTGCCATACCCTTCCCCATCCCACTCACCTGTCATATCCTCTCTCAGCCGCCACCCCACCACGTGCAGCACCTACTCCAGCTTGCTCACGGCACTGCTGGCGCAGGATACAAGGGGAGCTCCATCGAGCAACATACCTGGGCCTTGATTGATCTCACCTGTCATATCTCCCCTGAGCCGCCACCCCACCACGTGCAGCACCTCCTCCAGCTTGCTCACAGCGCTGCTGGCGCAGCCGTCGCTCCCCGCCTTGCGGTCGCTCGCCAGGCGCCACATGGAGCGCGCGGGGGACAGCGAGAAGAAGATGCGCGGGTCCGGAGGGACGAGCGGGAGAGGCGTGCGGTCGCGGCGCGTGCGACGAGGTGGGTCGTTGGGAGAGCTTTCAGGGAGTTCAGAGGACGAAGCTTGATGGGGGTCAGAGGTGGAAGGGAGCTCTGAGCTTTCAGGGGACTTTTGGGAAGTCTCAAAAGCTGGGCAGCGAGGTGGGTCGTTACGAGAAGTTTCAGGGAGCTCAGACGGCGAAGTTTCATGGGGCTCTGAGCTTGAAGAGGAGGGGAGTTCTGAGCTTTGAGGGGACTCTGAAGGGAAGGTTTGAGTCGTGGAGGGTGGTGAGGAGAGTGAGGAGGAGGAGGGTGGTGGGGAGGGTGATGGGATGGTGGAAGAGGGGGGGTTGTGTGGGATGGTGGGATGCGCTGTGATGGTGGATGGGTGAGGAGACTCCTGCATGGATGGATAGAATGGATCATGTGGGAGAGATTGTAAGAGTCATTCATTGGAGTGGGCGTTAATGCACAGTCACTAGCGCACTGTCACTAACGCACTAGCACAGCGCAATGCAGCACAACGCAGCGCAACGAAACCAGCACAGCACAGCACAGGCAATTAACCAACCAACCTGCCTTGGTAGATAGGCGACTGACACCACCAGCTGTCTGCCCATCCCCGTCCTCTCCCTTTGCACCATCCTGCTCCTCGCCCCTAATCCCCTCTCCCCGCTCTCCCCCGTCATTTTCTCCCCCTCCCCCTTCCCCTTCCCTTCCCCCCTGTCCTTTCCCCTTCCCCTCTCCGCCGCCACTGCTGCAACAGCATGGGGGCACGGGGGGAAGCAGGTCGAAGGGGGTAAGGGAAGGGGGGGCGGAGGGCTGGCGGGGATGGAAGGGGAAGAAGTGAGGAGCTGTGGAAACAGCACTGAGGGTGTGCGTGAAGCGCTTGGGGTCGAGGGGGAGGGAGGGGGGCAGGTGCGTGGCAATCCACCGCTCAAAGTGCTTGGGAAAGGCCTGTACGCGGATGGACACACAGGGAGCAGTGCCTTGGGTCTGTTCTTGCATTCTTCTTTTTCCCTCCTCCTCCTCCTGCTGCTGCTGCTGCTCCTGCTGCTGCTGCTCCTGCTGCTGCTGCTGCTCCTGCTGCTGATGCTCTTCCTGCTGCTCCACCACCCGTGCTCTGCTCTCCTCCTCCCCCTCCTTCTCCGTACCACCACTCTCCCCTGTCTTTGTTGCTGCCCCCATTCCCTCCATGAGCTCGGCTTGGACTTGTGCGTGGGCTTGGGCGTCCACACACTGTGCTACTGATCTCACCATCTGCCAGGGGCAGGACTCCACATGCTCGCACCAGTACATGCGATGGATGTACCTGCTCGCATGTGCCATGCCATGCCATGCCATGCCACGCCATGCCATGCCATGCCACATGTGCCACACAGTGTCGTACGATACAGTGACACGTTATGCCATGCCATGCCATGCCATGCAATCGCAGGTGCCACATGAAGAGAGGAGGGGCGTATGCATGCACGTTATGGCAGCACCGAGCTCCTATCAAGCATTCTTGTATCACTATCAATAATTCTCAATAAAGGTGGAGTCAACGAGTTGCACCGACTCCCCCGGGGAGGGGACAGGCGGCAACCGCGCAGCAGCACCAGCACAACGGGTGTGTTTGAGTCGAGTCAGAACGCACCTGCTGAGGAAGGTGGAATTTACGAGTTGCACCAACTCCGCGGGGGACAACCGGCATCCGCGCAGCAGCACCAGCGCCGCCCCATGGTGGTCCGTGTGCGGCCCTAGCTCCTCCGCGCCCGCCACGGCCCCCGGGGGGAACAGCTGCGCGGAGGGTTGAGGGGAGGGGGGAAGGTGGGGAGGGGGGGAGGTGGGGAGGAGGGTGGGATGTGTGGAGGAGGGAATGGGGCGGGATGGGGGGCGGGGGAGAGATTTGGTAGAGAGTAGGGGGTAGAAGATAAGTGGGTTTGGTCAGGGAAGGGGAAAAGAGGGGTGTGGGGGAGGGGAGAAGCGAGGTTGGGGGTTTATGAGCACGTGAAGAGGGCACGGCGAAACCCGGAATCGCTGCCGTAAAACTGCTGTCATGAATAGATGCGTCACGCACGCACACGGGAGAAAACAAAGCCAAGCGCTGCTACTTGTTTGAGACCTTCGCCCACGCAAAGCTATTCCCTGAGAGATTTCTGTTTATAACATCACTGCAGAAAAGAAGCTGAATCATGAGTTGCTATTTGCCAAATGTTTGCAGAGGTGGGGGGTGCGGCGCGCGTGCTGTGTAACAATGCGAGCGCTACTCTTGTGTCGAAAAGCATGGTCCGCTCCTAAGGCGGCTAGCGTTGCAAATTGTGACACTGCGATGGGATGGGAGGCGACGAAACCGCTAACGAGTTTCGCAACCGCACTAACCACCGCAATCGGCAAGAGCGCTGCTGTTCAGTAGCATCTGCGATTCCCAGGCGTACTTTGAGCGTGGTTGACGTGGCGTAGAGGAACAGCCGGTGAGCGTAGGCCTGCGATCCTACTTGCAGAACGACGTACATCTGGGGCTTAGATGATGACTAGGTTAGTAGATAGTGCACTGTGTGGTTCTAAGATTGACATAACAAATGTTCGCTTTTTCAAGTACTCAAAACCCGACCACACGCAGCTGACATGGAATGGGCGTGTTGCAGGTGGTGTGTGTAGGAGTTGGAAGCGAACGCAGGCTCTGCGAATTTTAAACTAGACACACGGTTACCAAGTACGCTTGAGATCTAGCGCTATAGAAAATAGGGTACTGCCTTCAATGGAGAAATTTGCACATATGGATTTTTAGAAGGGAGAATAGGAACATCTATAGGGCTGTAAGGAATTTTCTCGACATTCCTTACCGCAACCTGCAACATCGCGTACAGCAGCAGCCGTTGTTCGCGCGTTACTGCAACGGGGCTTCACCAAATTCGCGCGCACTTTTTCACCAAACCTTGCACCGCTGGCCCGGTCGTGTCGGCCTACGCTTCGGAACTAGCCCGAGCCTTGATGCCAGCCTAGCACTAGCTAGCTCGCACGCACCGTGTTACCGTTTGCTTATCCGCGTATAAGTATTCGCTCATGCCTTCGCTCATATTTTGTACTCGTTTGACACCTTAGTGCAATCCTCGCTACCTCGACCCAATTGAGGAAGCAGCTGGATTTTCTGCTCGAGAAAGAGTTAATTCGCCCGAGCTCGTCACCCTTCGCAGCACTAATACTGTTCACACCGAAGAAGGACGGGGTTTTTGCAAATGCATAGATTACCGAGCACTGAACAGGGTTACCATCAAGTCCCGTTACCCCATCCCGCGAGCCGACGAACTGATCGACCAACTAGGCGCACAGGCCGGGTTTTCTCGAAAATTGACCTTAGGGGGTTACCACCAGGTTCACGTCAACCCACCCGACTGCCCAAAAACAACTTTCCGTACATGCTACGGATCCTTCGAATACACGGTAATGCCTTTCGGACTGACCAACACCCCCGCCACCTTCCAAATGACGATGAACAAAGCATTCCGCCCGCTTTTAGATAAGTGCGTCATCGTCTACTTAGATGACAAACTGATTTACAGCCCCGACAGAGCGCAACACCTACAGGACATCGAAACCATTTTTAAGATACTGAATGGGAACCGCCTACTGACAAAAGGCCTCATATTGTGAGTTTTTACATAACATACTGGAGTTTTTAGGTCATTATTTCAGCTGACGGAGCGAAAATAGACCCGAAGAAGTTCACGACGATTCAAGCTTGGCACGCACCGACAAATCTGAGTGAGTTGCAGAGTTTTTTGGGGTTTGTCAACTACGTGCGTCGGATCGTCCACGATATAGCGACGTTGACTGCTCCGTTGACCGACCTGCTGAGGAAGGGGGTTGAGTATACGTGGTGGGAGAAAGAGCAAGCTGCCTTCTCGGCCCTCAAGAAAATTTTGTGCTCGCCGCCCGTACTTCACATCGCCGATCCGCACCGTCCGTTCGAACCCGTCATCGACGCTAGTGACATCTGTCAGAATCCCAACCACTAGACCATTGGGATAAAAGGGCTTGTTTCAGTAGCGGGTCAGTGCGCCCATAACCCCCCAGGCCAACATGCCTGTAACCCTTCCCTAGGATCAATCGGGGATCACCAGTGAACCTCTGACACCCCCCCGCACTGGGATGCCCGAAGTGCATACACCGGGATTCGAACCCGAGACCTTCGCTCTGATACCATGTCAGAATCCCAGCCACTAGACCACTGGGATAAAAGGGCTTGTTTAAGTAGCGGGTCAGTGCGCCCATAACCCCCCAGGCCAACGTGCCTGTAACCCTTCCCTAGGATCAATCGGGGATCACCAGTGGACCTCTGACACCCCCCCGCACTGGGATGCCCGAAGTGCATACACCGGGATTCGAACCCGAGACCTTCGCTCTGATACCATGTCAGAATCCCAACCACTAGACCATTGGGATAAAAGGGCTTGTTTCAGTAGCGGGTCAGTGCGCCCATACCCCCCCAGGCCAACATGCCTGTAACCCTTCCCTAGGATCAATCGGGGATCACCAGTGAACCTCTGACAACATCCGCGTGGGAGCAGTACTGTTGCAGGACTTCAGGACGCTAGTGACATCCCCGTACAAGTCCCGCAAGCTTCACCCGCCCGAGCGCAACTATCCGATACACGACCGCGAGATGCTGGCGATCGTGCACGCGTTCAAGGTGTGGCGATGTTACCTCACGGGAGCAGACGTGACAGTACGGACAGATCACCGATCACTACAGTACCTCCGCGCCTAACCAAATCTCAACCCACGACAGATCTGCTGGTTGGACTACCTGGAGTCCAACTTCCACTACACCGTCACGTACAAGAAAGGTGGCATCGAATATCACCGACGCACTCACCCGCCCTACCGACCAACTCCACGCCATCCTACTTTTCCAAACCAACCCACTGTTAACAGGACTATCCACCCACGGATACCGCACCGACCCATTTTTCACAACCGGGAATTCACAGCAACTGGTAGAAGCAAAGGGAGTCTATCACGTAAAAACATGCACCAACTGCATCAGGGTACCCCCGTACTCACTACTGAGGGAGCTGTTACTACAGGAGGCACACGACAGAATTACCTCGGGACATTTTGGGGTAGAAAAAACGCGCAGCAACTGCAGCGGTATTACTACTGGCCGGAGCTGTTGACCGACGTACAGCACCACGTGGGCTCGTGTCCTACGTGTCAGGTGATGAAAAGCTCGCGGAAGCGGAAGGCGGGTCAGTTGCAGCCGATCCCACTACCTGAGCGCCCTTGGCAGCAGGTTACCATGGATTTTGTCACGGGGTCACCTTCGAACCCTGGGGGTAACGACGCGGTAATGGTCGTCGTTGACAGACTGACGAAAATGGCTCACTTCGCTGCGTGCAGGAAATCAATCTCAGCCGAAGAAACCGCTCGTCTGTTCATCGCAACCGTCGTTCGTCTGCACGGGATACCAGCTGCGATAATTAGCGTCCGCAACACGAAGTTTATCAGCAACTTCTTGAGGAACCTTTGGGAGCTCTTCGGGACAAGGCTACAGTTCAGCTCGCCGTACCACTCCGAAATCGACGGTCAAACGGAGCGGACGAATCAGACAATGGAGCAGTTGATTCGTGCCACGTGCGATGATCCAACAACCTGGGAGCAGCAGATGTCGCTCATCGAGTTCGCATACAACAACGCCACGTAAGCGACGACGCAGCAGTCCCCTTTTATCTGAACTACGGGCAGAATCCAACAGTGCCCATAACGCCGAGTCCGGACAACCCCACGCCACGCGCCCAACAGTTCGCCGAGATTCTGCAAGCTGCCCGAACCAGAGCCGCAGAAGCAACTAAAAAAACCAACGTCATCGCTAAGCGCAACGCTGACTGCCACCGCCGCCCAGTAACGTACCAGTCAGGGGAATACGTACTGCTCGACTCGCAAAACTTACGACTGCCCGACATACCAAAACTTTGACCCCGCTACTGTGGACCGTTCCAAATCAGCCACATGATCATGTTAGTTACCGCCCACCTACCGTTGCCGACCGACTGGTACATCAGCCCATCCTTCCACGTCAGCTTGCTTCGCCCTTACATTCCGACCACGAGCCAACTGCCTCAACACCGCCCGCCATCCATGACTCGCCCTGCATCGGAGCCAATCATCGAGCCTGAAAAGTTTCTGAGCCATCAGATTCGACACCCCACGGGCATAAAGAGGATCGAATTCCTCGTTCGCTGGAAGGACCGCACGCCAACTAGCTGGGTGCCCCTGGCCAACATTGAAAACCACCCTGCCCTGCAAGTGTACTTGAGGAGCCGGGGTTTCCGCGTATTTACACACTCGCGTAGCGGATGTCAAACTCATTTGCTATAATCAGTGTAGGATGTAGTGGGGTAGTTCATATGGGGTACAACACTTTAGGGTTTCCTACTTGTACTCCTCATGCTGCTTAATGCACTCATTCCTCGTTCATATTTTCACATGGTATCAGAGCAGAATCGTTCCTAGGGCCCTAACTGATTTTTTTTTTCCTACGCTGCCCCCTGCAGCCGCGCTGCCCTTGCAGCCCGCGTGCTGCCCCTGCGACCGTGCTGCCCCTGCAGCCATGCCTCCCCCTGCAGCTCGTGGGCGCTGCCTCTGCAGCCCGCGCGCCGCCCTGCCGAGCCGCGCGTCGCCCCCGCAGCCCGTGGGCGCTGCCCCTGCAGCCCGCGCCCCGCCCTGCCGAGCCGCGCGTCGCTCCTGCTCGTCGCGACGCCCCTGCGGGACCCGCGCGGCGTCGCCCCTGCTCGTCGCGGCGCCCCCTGGACATCGCCCCTGCTTGTCGCGGCGCCCCCTGGGCGCCGTCCCTGCTCGTCGCGGCGCCCCCTGGGCGCCGTCCCTGTTCGTCGCGGAGCCCTCTACCGCAGTCGCGGCCCCGCCCTGCAGCAGCTGCCGCGAAGCCCCCTGCCACAGTCGCGGCCCCGCCCTGCAGCAGCTGCCGCGGAGCCCCCTGCCGCGGTCGCGGCCCCGCCCTACAGCAGCTGCCGCGGAACCCCCCTGCCGCTGTCGCGGCCCCGCCCTGCCGCTGTCGCGGCCCCGCCCTGCAGCTGTCGCGGCCCCGCCAGGTCGCTGTCGCGGCCCTGTCCTGCAGCTGTCGCGGCCCTGCCCTGCCGCTGTCGCGGCCCTGCCCTGCAACCGAAGCGGCCCTGCCCTGCAGCCGCTGTCGCAGCCCCGCCGTCGCCGCCGTCGTGCGCCTACCCTGCCGCCGCTCCCGCCACCGGTAGCACCTTCCCTACCCGCCCCTGGTGAGCACCTGCCCTACCCGCGCTTCCCGCGCGCCTGCCTTACTAGCGCGCTGCCGCGCCAGCCAGCCTGCCTGCCTGCCGCGCCTGCCTGCCAGCCGAGCCGCGCCGCCCAGCTGAGCCGCGCCGCTCAGCCACGCCGAGCCGCCCAGCCGAGACATCGTGCTGCCGGGATGTGCAGCCCTGCTCTACTGAGCCGCACTGCCCTGCCCGCGTTGCTACTGCTG